AAACTTAATTAAAAACTGCACAAAAATTGCACAGTAAATTAAAAATGACTGACTTCCTGTTGGCTTGAGGATATGGCTCCTAAAGACTTTTTTGTAAGTCTGCGCATTATTCATTTGTCCACCAATGTGAAATTTCAAGGTGTGGGCTTTAACTGCAACTTTTATGGGGTACTGCGGAGGCAATGTTCCACGCCCAGTCAGAAGGCCCGTACGAGACTGCAGTTTTCACCAGTTCTAATAAATGTACCAAGTTTAAGGACAAGCAGCACAAAAATATGTTGAAATGGTAAAAATAAAATCAGAATAATATTTCTTTGGCTTTCAGTTGGGTCCTCGCATCGCCTGGTGCTCAGGCCATAAACATTATGTCCTCAGACCACCTTGTCTTAACTCATCGCGTGGCGGCCATGTTCCTGCTGTTATTGTAGGCAGCAGTTTAGTGGCGCCTGCAGAGAGCAGAGGCTAACGTGGCTAATTGTGTCTGAAATGATGGAGGAGTCTGGGGAAACGCTGGCTCATTATTCTGCCCACCGTGCACCTCAAATGTGTCAGAGTGCAGGATCGTGGGGCTTAAAGACTTTCACAGCCGAGGGGCTGAGAGATATCACCGAGGTGCCAGGTGAGAGCTGAACTCCATTCTGTGGTGTGGATTAGCCTCAGCGCCCCGACGCTCTGCTGAGGTCAGGGAATATTAGAGGCTGATTGTGCATCAGCATTATGCTCCGCTGGTCGCTGTGTGCAGCAGGTGTTGGCAGGAAATAGACGTCCCGAGAGTGGACAGGTGAATACGCTTCCACGCAGCTGAATGAGGATAAAAGTGGAATTTAGTATTTTCACAGTGAGTTTTTATGGGACCGTTAATCCTGACCAGGCAGATTTACTTACAGGAGTTGATGTTAGAGTTGAGATGACTTCCTGCCCTCCAATAAAGACCGTTGTCTCTGTGTCTTTAAGTCTCATCTCGGCCTGACGGCGGCTGAAGGCTCGGAGACTCTGAACTTCTCTGAAGAAACATCTTATCAATGCGCAGACACAGCGCTGCTGCCGGCTAATCCAAATGAATGTCACATAATCAATGCACCGCCAGCGTCCCAGAAACCCTTTCCTCCAAAGAGGCCCAACTGCCAGCGTCTCCCAGATGGCTTAACGAGTCCAGTTCATTAAAAACAAAATGATTCAAGCCCTCCCATCCAAACGGAGAACACAGAGAGCAAACATGAGATGAGATAAGCAGAGGCTTATTTCCCTCCGACAGCTGTCAGCTCATCAGCCGTCCACTCCCTCCTCAGGCTGCGCACCAACTCATTAACTGATTAGACTCTGTGTTGGCTCAAATTAACCGTCCCGCCGGGGACACGCTTTGTTGTCACGTTAGTGTGGCAGGTAAACACAGCAGATGTGTTTCTGCTGCGTCCACTCCAGCTGAAAAGGTCAAACGCAGAGCTGTAGAGTTATTTGTTTGAGACTGACGTGCAACTATGACGAGTGTGCTTGTGTGTGTACGGTGACACTGTGGCTCCTTTTGAAGGTTACATTAAAAAAAAATCAGAATCAGAAATACTGTGTTGAAAGAGGTTAGACACCGGCAGCTAGCCACGACTTTTAAGGTGGGATGTTTTCTTCCATTGTACTCAGTGTGTGAGCTGATGTCATGAATCAGTCGTCGCATCTTTAATCAGCGTTTCCACATTCATGAAAATTCCTGGAAAATTATGAAAGTAGAAAAACTGTTTTCCAGGCCTGGAAAAGGTTTGGGAAAAACACAGTACTTTGGAAAAGTTTTGAACATATGTTGTGTTGGACTCTGTTTGAAGATCCTAACATGTCTGCAGTGAGTCAACATACATTCCTTTATTAAATCTGCTGCTGTGCTTCATCAAAACATCACCTGTATCACCTCGTGCACGTCAGCAGCTAAATGGTGGCAGAAATGTCCAACAAGCTCGTGCAGTTAGTTTTAGCAGTTAGCTTATCTTAAAATGTCTGGGAAGTGTGTGTGTGTAAAAAACATGACTCTGGACAGAGGCAGAGCTGAGCTGCACTAACTCTGCACCAACATGTTGATGTGTGTAACGTGGAGGAAATGTCGTCTTCACACAGCTAATTCTGCTGCGTCAGATTAATTACTTTATGATTTAAAGTTTATTTAACAAGCACATAAATACAATGAAGGATGTGACTGAACATTCAACTGTCAGAATCTGACAGACTTACTTCATGTCAGCACATAAATCCATCCAGCATGAAGGTTTGGTCTCATATTTCAAAAACAAACTACAGAACACATGTGAAACAGAAACGTGAGATTTACCTCCAGACCGAAACTGTTTGGATTCTTCTTTACGTCCCTCTGAGCCTCAAACATCGTTGTGTCTGTGAAGTGACTGTGTCGATAACAGTGAAATAATTCCTACAGTAAAAGATGCTTACTCAGTCTGATCTGTGTTCTGTCAGACGAGTCGACTGTCAATGTTGTTGATGTTTGAGCGTCAGTGTTGTCGAGCCGACTGGTTCCTGTGTGGAAAATGGCCGAGGGCCACTACGCTTCAGACCAACCGGTTCCACAGGAGCTTGTTGTGTCTCACATTGTGTCAGTGACAACACGTTCATCTGTTCAGTGTGACATTACAAGACTAACAATCAGGTGTTTGGCCTCCTCTGTCGTCCCTTCGTCCTGTCATCACGCTGTTAACGTGTCATCGCGCTGTTAACGTGTCATTGCGATGTTATCGTGTCATCACGCTGTTAACATGTCATCATGAAGTTAAAGTGAACTCTGTGACTTCACTCAGTTTGGATCAGAATGAACTCATCAGTCTGAATCTTTGCTTGTAGTAAAAAGTGTTAGCTTGAGTTTTCCTGGATACTAAGGGTCTTCATCAGGTCTGGAACTCGCTGTGGTCGTCTTGCTTTGCATCATCATCATCATCATCATCATCATTATCATCCTTACACTGTCCTGGCTGCTCCTTTGCCTCAGCAGCAGGTTGTCAGTAAGCGGTCTCTTCCTCCCTCCGACACAGTGATGTGATGCTGTAACCTCATCTGCATTTGAGACTCTTTTCACAGTGTCTCTTTTGTTTTTGAAACTTCTTCCTGCTCTGCCCTGAATGTTTGTGACATCTGAGGGGATTTGTCTCTCACAGCGACACCACTGAAACATAATCTGTTTGGCTGTCCTCCTCGGCAGGAGAAAAACCTCCATATGATGCTAATCCATCAGATATATTGTCCTGGTGTATCGCCTCGGGCCGGCCACACAATCTGTTGTAATTCACAAAGTAAACAGAAGCAGACAGCCGCCCACTCCCCGCGATTTATGGCGTTGTGATCGTCGCTTGACCTCATTGCTAAATGCAGCTCTCTGCGCTGCATCTCAATGAAGCAGACTGTTATCAATATTGATGACAGTTCACGTCTCTGTTGGCTTAAAGTTCTGCTCCCACTTAAAACCAGGAGGCCCAGTTTCACCTCCGGGCAACACACGCCTGCCTGGAAGAACCCCCGCAGAGGACACGCTGCCCTGAATAAGTTGGTGAAGAGCGCAGGTCATCGCAGTCACAAGTTTGTTAGGACAAATCCCTCTGACGACCACCAGAGCTGCTAATTATTCACACACACACACACACCCACACACACACACACACACACACACACACACACACACACACACACACACACACACAGAGCAGAGTGATCTGCAGGAGCTCTTCTCTTCACAGGAAGTAGAGGCCCCATGATACCATACTGTCACCATACTGATCCGAAATTATTACGATATGCTGAGTGCTGTGATTCCTCAGCTTTATGCTTCATTTCTCTGTGGAGCTTGGGTTTGGCTGGGGCGGGGTGGGGGGTGGGGGGTGGGGGGGCGCACACAGGGGTTCAGGTGTTTAAGCATGGAACAGAAGCCTTGGTTTCAGCAGCGCTGTATGGACGCAGATCTATGAACAGGAAGTAGATGATGGACTGTGTTATCTTCTGATGGTTGTTCTGTTTTGTTTCTTCTGTTGTTTTCTGGCATCTTCATCTAATGTGTTCACGAAGTCTGTTTGTCCTCTGTGTGTGTGTTTGGCATCAGGTGTTCAGAAACACAAGTATTTTTCTCTCGTGGAGACCTTGATTTATTGTTCCAGGTCAGAAATTACTGGTATAACCTTCGCCTACTCTGATATAATTATTTGTATATTTTTACACTCTCAGTCTCAGGACAGTGAAGATATTTTTATTGTGAACATCTTAAGCACCAGAGTTAAACTCTTTAGCATAATTTTATTTTATGACTTTATATTTACAAACTTCTGTTTCATCCCCTTTTTCTTACTGCTCATGATTCTGTGTTCTTTACATGAGAGGGACGCTCACAATTCACAGTTCCTCTCAGGGGTCAGTCAAATATTTCTGTTTCTGATTCTGATGAAATTAGTTTTAATAAATAAACAAATTAAATTCTTCTCATCTTGTCAGGGTGACACAGAGCTGTGACTGAGCTCAGTATGAGTTTGACGCTTCACTCAGACAGGTCTCAGTTCAGTCACATCCTGACCTTTAACCTCAGTGGGTGATGTTGCCTTCAGGGCCCGGAGTCATGGCGGGTGGAGCGAGGCGTTCTGCTCGCTGCAGGCGAAGGTTTTTAATTGTGCTCGGTGACCTGTGACAGCCTTTGGTAGGCGGTCAGAGCCCCGGGTTCCCGCCTCCTCTCCCTCCCTCTGTCCGTCTCTCTGACTCCTTCTACCTCTTTTTTTAAAGTGTGTGTGTGTGTGTGTGTGTGTGCGCGCACTCTCACATCTCCGCCATTCAGCCGACACTCAATCACATCACCGCACCGACACAAGGCATTGCATGCTAATCAGAAGTTCCAACTTTAAACGTTGCAGCTGCCCTGACTGTCGGCTGAACATGATGTAAAGGGTTAATGTGTTCATCTCTGCTCTGAGCTCCGTCAGGACTCAGTGTTCTCTCAGATACACTCACCCTCATAACCTTGCATCTCCTTTCAGGTGGGAGGTGAGCGTGCTGTGGGCCATGTGTTTCTGCTAAGGTCTCATCTCCTGCCAACATGAGGCTGACGCCCGGCTCGCCTCCGCCCGTCCTGCCAGCTATCCTGGCTCTCACCTTGGCCGCCTTCTTACCTCAGCTGTCCTCAGGAGCCACGCCGTTCCCCCAGGACCTGGAGCCAATCAGTATCGTGGGCAGAGAATGTAAGTTCAGACTATGTGGTGTTGCCATGGTGATTCTCGGTGTAGGAGTGGATGTAAAGTAAAGAAAGGGTCAGTGAGGCGCCGTGTCTCATTGCCGGGGAACAGAGCTTAGTTTAAGGGCACGTTCACAGGAAGCACATGTGCAGAGGTTTATTTAGCTGCTGGAACATTTCTTCTTCATCTCCTTGTGTTGTGTTGGCTCGCTGTGAGAAAGGCCCGCTCAGGAAACAACACCATGACCAATAACACCATCACCAGTAACATCACCATCACCAATAACACCATCACCAATAACACATCACCAGTAACACCATCACCAATAACACAGCACCAATAACACCAGCACCAATAACACCATCACCATCACCACCAACACCATCACCAATAACACATCACCAATAACACATCACCAGTAACACCATCACCAATAACACAGCACCAATAACACCAGCACCAATAACACCATCACCATCACCACCAACACCATCACCAATAACACATCACCAATAACACCATCACCAATAACACCAGCACCAATAACACCAGCACCAATAACACATCACCAATAACACCATCACCATCACCACCAACACCATCACCAATAACACCAGCACCAATAACATCACCACCAATAACACCATCACCATCACCACCAACACCATCACCAATAACACCAGCACCAATAACACCAGCACCAATAACACCAGCACCAATAACGCCATCACCAATAACACCA